AGGCTGACAGGCGGAGGTGGCAGCAGACACCGGCTGTGCTGAGTGAAGGGGGCGCAGGGACAGGCTTCCAGGCCACGCAGTCACCTCCAGGAGCCAGGCAGCAGATACCCCAGGCTGCAGAGATCCCCTAAGCCCCTCATATACCCTGAGCTGCAGCAAATCCCTGGCTGGAAGAGAGAGGTTTTCAGAGACACAGATGCCTGCCCGGGCCCACACACCTGCCCAGCGCAGTGAATTATTTAGTATGTCCCCTTCTAGCTAGTCTTTGCAGGAGTCTCGGTGCCAAAGTGGGTACACATTCTGCTGTTAACTACAAGGTCAGCAGTTCGAAACACCAGCTGCTCCTCTGGTGAACGACAGGGCTTTCTACTCCCATGAAGAGTCACAGCCTCGGAAAGTCACAGGGGCTGTTCTTGCCCGTCCAATAGTCACGGTGAGTCACCATCGACTTGATGACAGTGAGCTGGGTTTTGGTTTGGAGCCAGTTTTTTCAGGAGCCTTGGTGGTCTGGTGGCCTCAGGATGCTAACCGCAAGGTCTGGGGTTGGAACCCACCAGCCCCTCCGAGGGCAAAAGAGAGGACAGTCTCGTAACCCACAGGGGCCGAGCTTCTCCAGGGCCGCCGAGTCAGAATGGACTCATTGGCTGTGAGCGGGCTAGTTTTGGCAGCCCCCACCAAATGACTGGGGGGTTGGGAGCCTTTGCAAATAAGGTGCTGTACCACCCCCGCCCCCCTTCCAGGGGAATCGATAGCTTGTGAAAGATGTAACCCAGTGCCTGGCACCCAAACAAAGTGTGTGGAACTCTAAGAAAGGGATTAGCAGTGTTGCCATCCTGCTAGGTTCAAAAGGAGCCACCCCAGGGGCAGGAGGGGCCTCGTGCCCACCAAGAAAAAGTGCCAGGCGTGGGGGCAGCCTTGAGGTCCAGGGTCCCTGCACGGCCAACCTCCTGGAACCACGAGGCAGAGTGGGAGAGCTGTCACTGGAGGCAGAGGAGACAGTAAGCAGCGGAGTCTGAGAAGCCGAGGTAGCATGAAACCAGGAGACCTCAGGATGCATGGGCTTCCTGGTCCGCAGTGTGAGAAAGCTGAGCTTCGGGCAGGAGACTGCGTGGGGGTGAAAATTGGAGTGCCTCTGGGCACTCATTGGCCAAGCTCAAGAGCTTTTTAACATGTGTCTGAACAAGGCAAAGGCCAAGGGGCCAAGAGACCAGGGGCCAGAGAGAGGCGTGTCTGGGGGCACAGCTGAGAAGAGACGCTTCTGACTAAAAGAACTGTACCCTGAACCATTTCTGATTCTGAATGGTAACCAGTTACTTCCCTGATAAAACCCAAGACTGTGAGTATGATAGAAGCCAGCAGAGAAGTCAGGCTCTGTGGGCGGATCGGCCGGCATCAGAGTTGAGCAGAGGCCGGAGAGAGGAGGCCAGTTTCACCTTCCCTCAGAGGAACCAGCCTGGGGGGTCCCTGATGCTGCCGCAGCCCCTCCCTCGGCTTGTGAAGTTACAGGAGGACCTGATGCCACATGGGGTCTCCCAAAGGGCCCCCCAAGTCAGAGTCGCCCAACACAGCCTGCTGGGCATTCCTTCTAGCTCTGCAGCCATGCGGCCAACATGCAGGCTTGTTGGTTAAGTGGGAAGCAGGACCTGAAGAAGGGGTGGGGTTGTGGCGTAAGCACCCATGTCAGCACCCCACATACTCTCGTGCCAGCTCAGTCTTTGGAGTGCTGCAACGATCACGGGGCCAGTCCCTCCCCCAACACAGGTCAGGGAGTGGGGCTGGGGGTGGGACTGGAGAACCTCTAGGCCTGTGCTTACTGCTGGGGGTGAGGTCAGAAGTCAGGAAGGGCCGCCCTGCTCTGATCACATCCCAAGGTCCACACCTCTCCCAGGTACCCCAGGGCCCATGCTGGGGTGGACAGACCTCTTCGACAACCTCCCCCCACCCCACAGCCCACCTGGCATCCGGAAGGGAGGGCCACAGGGAAGGGAGGGGCCCAGCCAGCAGCATCAGAGCCCACAGCCTGCCCCCACCTCCCCAGGGTTGGCTGGTGCCCCTGGTCAGCGAACATTTCAGCCGCCCCAGCCAGTCTGTCTGCACCCAAACCCAAGGAAGTGCAGAGAGGGTGGGGTGGGGGTCGCTGGCTCTGACCCAACACTAAGGAATGTCCACCAAAGCAGGCCCTAGGGCCAGGGTCTCAGTCCCGGGCCCAGCCTCCCCTGGGCCGTGGCAGGCTAAAGGGGTTGGTCAGCCTGGCTAGACTGCAGCCCTGAGACTGGGGCCAGCCCTGGACGGCAGTGTCCAGCTAGATGGGTGGAGGCTGTGCACTACAACCTACAGCAGATCCACCCTCCAGCCCCGAGCTTGGCAGACAGCAGGGGTCAGATGGTGCTTCTGGGAAGTCAGCCTGGGGTCAGGCGGTGAGGCCAATCCAGGCTCCTTCTGCTCAGGGGCGCGGAGAGGTCAGCATGTCAACCTGAGGCCACCCGGCACCATGCTGGCCACTCTGGCTCTGAACCCAGCCATCCTGAAGCTTGGAGGCTGGGGGCAAGGGATGCTGGGAGCTATAGAGTGGAGGGAGGGGCTTCCCCTTCCCCCAGCAGCAGCAACTTTGGCTTTGCCCAGTGGTCGGGCCCCCTGCTCAGGCTGGATAGGTGTAGGGCAGAGCTGGAAACAGAGCCAGGAGGATGCAGGGGAGCCATCGGGCCTCCCTCTCCATTGGCCCCTGAACTGGATCCTCCAAGCTGACCACTCTCACCACTCTCGCCTGGCCTGGCCCTAGGTCTGCGCCTCCCCAGGCCACGTTCCCCTGAGCAACTGCCCAGACCTACCCCTGTGGTGGGGGTGGGGGTGTCATTGGAGATGAGGCATTCCAGGGGAGCCACAGCAACGTGGTTAAGGACCCCATTAGGAGGGCGGTGAAGGGGGAAGAGGGAGAGGAGGAGATGGGGATGACAGACAGGCTGTGCTGTGCCTGGCCCCCTGCCCATAGGCACTGGGCTGGCCCCACACCTCTCTCCTGCAGCTCCCTGTCTCTCCCTCAGCCCTAGCCGGGGCTCCTGAGCCTCTCCAGGTCCCTGTCCCCCTGGAAACAAGTCATCCCCCTGGAAACAAGAGCCCTGCCCACTTACAGATGGCTGGTTTCAAGGGACCACCAGAGGGGCACCCCCCTACCCCCACCATCTTGGGGGCTGGCCCTAGAGGGTAGGGCAGTCAAGGGCTGGCATCAGGCAAAGAAAGGACCCCTGGGGACCCCAAAGCTTCAAAAAGGGCATCTGCTACCCAGGGTCTATGCCCCCCATTCAATGTCAACTAGCGCACACAACACGCGCGCTAAAAACCATACACACACACACACACAAAACATGCACACACAACACACAGCACACACACTACACACAAAACATAGACGCACACACAAAACATGCACACACAACACTCACACAACGCACACATGCACACAATACACATAAAACACACACACCTAACACACACATACATACGCATTCATAAATACAACCACACACATATATGCACACATACGCACACACACATGACCATATGCATACACAATATATACGTGCACATGCACGCACGTGCACACACACGCACTCACACCTTGGGCTCCTCACTCTGGCACCTCTCCTGCAGCCACCCCCACCCCACCCCACAGGTGCAGACTCCATGTCCCCTCCTGTGGAGGGCATGGCCCCACCCCTCTTATTAATGAGCTGCAAAGGGGACACCAAGCGGAGGCCGGACCCCAAGGCAGGGCTCCCCAGCTGAGGCTGCTCAGGCCCCTCGGTCTACGTCTTGCTCCTGCCTGGCCTGGGAGTCATGATCACGGGGGAAGACGTGATGCCGAATCACAGCGACCCCAGAGAACAAGGTAGAGCAGGCCCTGAGAGTTTCTGAGGCTGACTCGTTCCTGGAGTAGAAAGCCCCGTCTCACTCCCGAGGAGCAGCGGGCGGTTTTGAACTGCTGACCTCGCCATCAGCAGTGCGGCTCATAACCACTGTGCCACCAGACTCCTCATGATCACGGCCAGATGCCCCTTTCAAGCCTCTGGCTCCCCTGTGTGCCCTCCACCTCCCCTTCCTTGAGGACACTGACCCTCGGAGGTCATGTTGACATTCCCATTCAGACCAAGAGATCACCCCCTAGCACCCTGCCCTACACCAGCCAGCTGTGTGGACCGGGACCCGCCCTACCCAGCCTCAATACCCTCATTACCCAGCAGCCACTTGGAGGAGGGCTTTCCTGTGCTCCTAGCAGTTAGGAAGGTGGGGGCCGGCTCCGGCCTGTCTTCCAGCCTCCTCCAGACCCCTCTGGCCTGGCCCCTTAGAGTCCCTGCACCCCTAGTTTGATGGGCCTTGAAAGTGGGCTCTCCAAGCCCTCCTACTGCCCGACTCCCACTCCACTGCCTTTTACCCCAGGAGTCCCCCAGCCCAGTCTGTCTGTCTGGGAGCTCAGGTGCCAACCGGAGATGCTATCTCAGCGGCTGGAAACCCTGGACGTCCCCCTCGGCCAATTTACATTCTTTTGTCTAAATTTGCTGGAGCCAGGGGCTGGGGGAGGGGGCTTTAAACTTGAACTTCAGGCCACCATCCCAGCCCCAAACATGCAGCCTGCTGCCTGCCCTCACAGTGCACCTACATGTGACTCACCTCCCCAGCTACAGACATGGGCCTCCCAAGAGCACCCCCCTCCCGGCGAGCACCCCCCAAACTTGCCACCTGCACCCCAGATATTGGCATGTCATCATACCTGCATCTCAGGGACAGGGGGATCCCACCTCACCCCCGGTCCTGCTGGCCTCTATGCCCAGCAGGGTTACATCAGGCCACCTTTCTGCTGGCCAACCACTGTGGCTTCCAGGGGTCATTGGGGCACCGGGTTCTCAGTGTTAACCCCGCAGACACAGTATGAGCATGGGACAAGGAAGTCCCCAGGGCCCCTAGGCTGTGTGTGCCCCGAGGGTAGAACAATGAGCAAAGAGGACTGAGGATGATGGGGCTCCGTCGCCCACTTTTTATTGTCAGGACCACGGGTAAGGACGGAGGACACCGGGGCAGCGCTCCTCCTCCTGGTGTCACACGCCCAACAGCAGGCCGGAGAAGCTGGAGCTGCCCTGGATGGTGAGGGCAGCGCCGGAGCCGTTGTCCACGAAGACAGAGGCGGACTGCCCAGTCTGAGGATGACCCCCAAGAACGTCATGGATGCCAGGGGCCCCAGAAGCCAGCCACCCCGCCCAAAGAGGGAAGCCTTTGGTGCCTAAGAACATGCCCGATAGCAAAGCCGCCCCTCTCCCTGCCAAGGAGCCACTCTCTGGGGCAGGCTCCAGGGTGGTGTTCGCTGCCCCCCACCCCTGCTGCTCACCTGCAGCTGCAGTAGCCCCTGCACCTGCACCGTCAGGACTCTGCTGTTGCTCTCGAGACCCGAGATGGCCTCCAGGGACCTGGGGGGGGACCCCACATTGGCACAGGTGAGGGCCCAGTGGCCAGCTGGGCCCCAACCCCCCCACCGAGAGGGCTGACCCCACCCCTCCTGGCGCCTGGTCTAGGCGGCCCCACTCACACGTGACGGTGGCACAGGGACTCGATGCAGATGAGGACACGGACCGTGTCCCGAGCCCGTAGCTGGGGCTTGCCCCTCACCTCACTGAGGTCTGCAGAGATGGCAGGGGCTGAAGTGGGCCCTCCAGGGAGGGGTGCAGCCAGGGAAGGGAGGGGAGGGGCCCCAGGGCCCACTGCCTGAGACGCACCCCGGAAGGGGTTGCCAGGGAGGACAGTGGCAGGACAGAACAAGGAGGGCCGTTGTGCCCCACCACGCCTCCCAAAGCAGAGATCTCTCAGGGGGCACTCCCTGTGGTGGGTCCCCAACCCTGGACAGGATCTCCTCTCCCCAACCCGCCTTCCCAATTGGGACTCCTGGGTGGAGCTGCCCCTCCACCCTCCACCCCACCCCTCCCGCTCACCCACGTGCAGGCTGGCAGAGAACTGGAAGATAGCAGACACAGGGGCCGTGAAGCGCCCTGAAGCCAGGCTCAGACCCGAGCCCCGCAGGAAGGCACCCTGGGCTGCAGGCTGTGAGGGGAGGACACCAGCATGGCTCCAGGCCTGGCCTAACCCCTAGCCCTCGGTCCTCAGTCCCCACGCTCCAGGCCTGGCCCTCTCCCCACACCCAGCCTTTTAGCCCCCGAGCCTACCCTTCAGCCCACACCTGGCGCCTGACCCACTCCTTCCTCAGCCCCTCACCCCCAGGCCTGGCCATAGCCCCACACCCAGGCCCTTAACCCTCAATCTCACGGGGAGTAGGAGCTGCCTAACAGGGTGTCTGCCCCTGGTTTTGAGGCCATGAGCCCCTCCAAAGGGAGGTACCTGCCTATAACCCCCCCCTGGGTACTGCTCCTAGTCCTGCTACCAGGACATGGTCTGCATAGGCAGAGCCCCTAAATCTGTTTCGGGCCACCCTCACCTTCCAGGTCTGGTGTCCCACCCCGTACTATCACCCTTGACTGCCCGCAGTCCCCTGGCTTCCCCAGCTTCCTCACTCACTGCCTGGAAGCCCTGTAGCTCCACCAGCGTCTTCTTGTCCACCAACACAGGGCCCCTCAGCTGGCAGTGAAAGGCTTCGGTGACCAGTCGCCTGCCTGGCCCCTCGGGTAGCAGTGGGCCCAGCAACCCCAAAAAGCGGCGCTCTGTGGCCTCTGTGGGGACAAGCACAGGTGGCCAGTGCTGGACAGGACATGGTCAGGGCTCCCCAGGCCTGTGGGGAAGGGACATCAGCAGCCTCACCTTGCAGCATCTCCTGAAACTCCTGAAGAAGGGCTTCCTGGGTGATTTCGGCACCTGGGGGCCCTGGAGGGCCAGGGGGCCCAGGAGGCCCTGGGGGTCCCGAGAGGCCTCGCTAGGAGCAGGCAGAGGAGAAAGTGAGGGCTGGGAATGGGACACTGAACAGGTCACAGAGGGCCTGGGAGGGCCAGGGTTGGGAGGGGGGCACCGGGCAGGACCCACCGACTTCTTGTCCCGGGCACGGCATCGTTTCTTCGAGGCTCCATCATCAGGCCGGCGCACAAAGTTGAGCCATGTCATGTGGGCGTCTGAGAACTCAGGCCCCGAGGTCCCAGGTGGCTGTGCGGGGGTGGAGGGGGGCTAGTACACTGCACCAGCCAAGGGGAGGGCAGCATCGCTGGGTACTTGACAGCCATGGCGAGGTCGGCCTTCCTGACCAGGTGCCTGTGTCCCTGAACCTGTCCCTACTGCCTGTCAGATGGCCCCCAGTCCTGGCCTGGCCTGGGCCCTGGCTGAAGGGTTAGGCTGGAGTGGGGTGGGGTGGCGCTCCTACTGGCCCTGTTTCTCAGTGCTCAGGGGAAACTGGGAGCAGGAGGGGCCAGGTGGTGGGGACAGGCAGAGGACAGCCCACTCCCACAGTGGGAATAGCCTGGAAGGGCCAGCCTGGAGCACCAACTTCACATGACCTGGTGCCCCCTCTCAGAGACCTGGAGGGGAAACCACAGCAGGGTGGTGCTGCTCAGGGGCCAAGTAGGACCACGCCCTGGACTCTGATGCCCCCTGAGGCCCTGACCCTCCTCAATGTGATCCTTCTGAGCCTGCCCGTCTGGAAAACGTGGCCTCAGGCTGGAGGGCAGCGTGGGCCGAGAGGCAAGGCAGGCCGCCATGGAGACGCCCTGGGAGGCAGCGCGGGCGGGATCAAAGGCTGCCAGGGCTGGCCGGGACCTGCCAGGTACCCTGGGGCCTGAGCGATTGGGGTCGGTGCCAAGACCCCTCAGGAGACCCTGGCCCAGGGGGCAAGGGCCTAGGGTTATGGCCAACATGGTCTCTTTTCTCAGACAGACCCCAAGCAAGCTACACATGTGATGTCAGAAAGGCAGGGGCTGGGCCACAGCCTGGGTGCTTCCCTTGTGGGTGAGCGGGGCTGGGTCAGCTTGAGGAACCTAGGGAGCAAGGTCCAGACTGCCCGGGGTCTGTCTCTGTGGCACCAGATTCCCCACGGCACAGGCTGCCCGGGGAGCCTCCCTATCCCCACCCACATTCACAATCACAGCTATGGCCACTACACCTTGTTGCAGATGATTCCAGGTATGCCTGGAGCTTCAAAGAGTTCATGCAGCCCTAGTGGGAACCCACCCCCCACCCCCCACCACAGGCTTCCCAGGAGGAGGGTGCTCCCTGCTTGAAGTCCCTCCCCAGTCCAGGGGGCTGCCAAAGGGGTGTTCCTGGGGCCACGTGCACCCAGCCTACCTTGGGAGAGCTGAGCGGCTCCTGGCTGTTGGGGAGGGTGGCGTTGAAGGGCATGGTGTGCTGGTTGGGCTGCCGTGGCCGCTTAGGCTCCCGTCGGGCCCCGACACCCCCAAAGAGCAGAAGCTGCGGCCAGAGGAGGGCCATGACCAAGGCCCACTCCCATGCCCAGCCCCACATGGCCTGCGGCTCCCCACAGAGACAGACGGAATGCGGCTGGTGCTCAGAGCGGCAGTGCTGGGACCTGGAGCAGGGTCCACTCAGGGAAGCAGCGGCTGCAGTACTGGGTGCCCGGCGACCCCTTGCTTGGGTGAAGGCCCGGGGCACCCTTGCATGTCTGCGCAGAGCCGATGTGGGTTTCAAAGGCTCCCGTCCCGAGCCCCCACGGCCTGGTCACGCCAGCTCAGCCTCCTCTCTGCACACTGCCCTCCCTGTTCCACCCGCCAAATAAATCCTCCACTCCCTCCCAAACCTAGCCAGCTCGCTCCAAGGGGGAGGGCTCACGCGCCAGTGATCGTCAGCCGCAGCCACCCCCAGGCCGCCCCACAGGCACCCGAGAAGGGGTGGGAACTAGAGACCCTCCCCACTGACCCAGCGCAAAGGGGCTGCACCTCCGCTGCCCCATGCCCCCCTTTTCTCCTCCCTGAAGAGCTGCCCTGCCCCCTACCCTTGCCTGGAGGGTCCTACTTAGCCACTGACTTGGGCGGGATCACCAACAGTTAACCCACCCTGCCCCCACCCAGCCATGCTCAAGGGTCCAATTTGCTAAGAACTTGAGCCCCCTCCGGCTGTCCCAGGGTGGGTGTCCTCCAGGACATGCTGACAGCCCCCTGCCCCAGCAGCCACCCACCCCCACCCGGCGCCACAGAGCAAACAGCCTCACAAGCCCCGCCCCTTACACACCCCACTGCAGGCTTTCCAGAGCCTTCCTGGTTTCTGGCACACACCCAGGGGTCCGTCTTAGCAGGCGTGGGTGACACTAGGTGCCACCCCTCCACTGGGAAGACTGACTCACTCAGAGCTCAGAAGTGGGTGTCCGGGCTGATGAGGTCCCCAGACCTAATTGCCCTCCCCAGCCTGTCCTCAGACCCCTGCCACCCTGAGGCTGGCAGAACGGGGAGAAGCCCCTATTGCTGCCCTGGTAAAAAGTGTGAGCCTGGACAGTGCCTGGCCTGTGGGGGTCTCCAAGGAGAGAACATAGCCCAAAGCAGCCACAGGTGAGTGGGGCTCCCTGTGCACAACAGGGGGGCACTAGGTCCTGCAATGTGAAGGGCAGGGACTGGAAGGAGGTTTAGCCGGGCAATCACCGATGCTATCAATCACCCATGCTAGAGGCTACTGTGAGCTGTGCACCCCTCCCCGATGGTAAAGAAATCTCCCTGACCGCCCCCCTTCCGCTGCCCCCCCCACCCCCCATTATCCAACACCAGCCAGAGGGATGAAGGTAGTTAACTAGCTGTGTCCCCCGGCCAATCTGCCCCTCTGCCATCTAGGTTCCCAGCCAGCAACACGAGAGGAGCCTGCAGGGACCACATGCGGAAGCAGCCTGGCAGTTCTGGGTCACATGCCAACTCGTGGCAAGGGCCACGGCAAGACCCAGGCCCAGCCACGTCAGGAGTCAGTCCGCACCTCCGCATGCCAGAGCCTGTGCTGGTAAAAGGAGCCCCAGTAGTTACTTGCTTGGCCAACCTCGCATTCACCCATCCGCAGCCAGCCCCAGGAACAGAGAGCAGTTCCAGGAGGCTGGCAGGCCAGGCTCCCTGAGGCCATCAAAGCCCCAAACATGGACCAGCCAGGGGGCCTTGGCTCTCAGTATCCCCTCCAGGGTCTGAGAGAAGTTAAAGGCCTGGATGGGACGGTCCGGTGAGGATGGAAGCCCCCACCCCGTCCGACCCCCAAACTAGGGTGAGAACCACCAGACTGGCTCCCCCAACATGTGCCCAGGCAGCACCACAGGCCCACCCTGGCCCAGGCCAGACACAAGACCAGATTCTCTGCCTCCTCAGGCCCCCGAGGTCCTCCTGCCTCCCCAAGGGGCTGAAGGCCAGCTGCTTATCCTCTTCACTCGTCCCCCCAGCCCAGCCCTAGCTCCGCCTCACCTACCCCAAACCTGCACCCTATAGTTCTCTGCCCCTCAACATCCTCACCCTACCCCAGACCCACCAACCCTGCCTCAGCTCTGGAGAAGTGGACAGGGTGTGTCCATCTCCTGACAGGCTTGTCCATGTGGGCTGGCACACCAGGCCCCTCTTCTGCAGGATGGGCCAGTTGAGGGCTAGCCCTGCCGCTCCCACCCCCACCTCCAGTGACACCAGGCCAGAGAAGGCAGAGGTTCCCATAAAGACTTGAGAGGTGGATACAGTCCCATTGGTCAGATAGCAGGTGGCTACAGCGCCAACGGAAGTTCAGCTCCCTTGGGGAAACCCAGCCTGACAAGGCTCGAAGAGGAGGCCCATCTCTGACGGCCACCTGAGCCCCACACTCAGTCTCAGGAAATGAATGTGGACTCACCCTGACCCCAGAGGCCGTTCTAACAGAGCTGCAGAGGACTGGGGACAAGGGGAAGGCAGTCTTTGAAGCACAGCTGGGGGATGGGGGGGTGGGGACTTGACACCAGTGTCTACATATCCCGACTTCCTGTCAACCACAGGCGGCTGTCCTTGGAACGAGGTCTCATGCTATGGACACACCACCTGGCATATGCCCAGCACTGTGGGCCAATCGAGCCCAGAAAGCCCAGTAAGAGCTGGCCAGGAGCAGAGACAAACACCAGAGCCACACAGAACCAGGCAAAGGCATGATTCTTTTCACAAGATTGAGAAAACAGATACCAGAGGCGGGTTATAGGCCATTTAAAATCAAGCCCAAAGACAATGATTTATTACAAAGATACCAGCTCCCTTTCCAGGGGCACCGTCTTGAGGGACTCTTACCCGCTCACCTCTCAGGTAGGCAAGAGTCCTGGATGGAGCGCCATCAGTGGGGCCCGGAACCTCAGGGAGGAAGCAGCCCACCCCCCACCCACCTCTCCATCTCTCTTCCTGGCCCACCCCAAACTTCCCACCCTGTAGACACAGCCACTACCACCTCCCCAGCCCTGCTCCCAGGTCCCCTGCCCTCCCCACCCTGTAAACACAGCCCCCTCCTACCTCCCCACATGGTCAGCACATGGCAGCAGCCCACCCAAATCTCCCAGCCCTGGCGACACCTGGATGTGGAGGCCTGGGAGTAGGGGGGATGCCGACAAAGGCCCAGTGCTGTGTGTTCCCTTGCTGAGGAAGTGCACTCTTTGGGGAGTGACACCCCCTAGTGGTCAGAGTGGCCCCACTAACTGCAGACTCCTTTGGGAATCTTCTCACTCCAACAGCAAGGTCACCTGGTCCCAGTCGGGGGTGGGGGTGGGGGGTGTCAGAGGTGTTCCCAGGTGACTGAGCCCCTAGCTCCCAACCTCATCCAGACACCATTTGGCAAACACTCCCAGGATGGGGCCCACCATCCAGCACAGGGAGGGGGCACCAGCCCCTTCACAGCCCCTAGCCAGGCCAGTGGCACTGAGGCTCAGGCACACCAGGAAGAGGTGGAGAACAAGAAGAAAATGAGAGGACACGGAGGATCTAAGGGAACAAGGACACTGGCCCTCCATCTGGCCATCTATGAAACCCACCCCCAACCCCCGCAAGATACACACAAAGTTTATGATAGACTTTTAGATTTGTATTTTTAAGTGACCAAATCTAATAAAATGAAAAACATGTTTACTAAAACAAGTCCAAAGACAAAACAGGAAATGTGCTATAAAAATCAAAGCGTGACGGCCCCTGTGGAGGAACAGCGCAAGTGAGGGGCCTCCCAAGCAGCTCCGAGGTCGGATCCCGCTGGGAGAAGAGGGCTCCGCTGGCTCACTCGGCTTCCTCCAGCCACCTACGCTTTTGTCCTTTTTCCTGGTTGTAAAGAGCTAAACATGGGATCCAGGTGAGGCCCGGCGCCCAGCTGCACGTCTTGCCTGCCGCGTGGCCCTGCTGCAGTCTGCTCCCGGCCTGGCCGTCCGGGACGCCGCTGTCGTCACTCCTGCGCTATGCTCCGCAGCACGTACTTGACTGTGTAGGCAAAGGCAGCAAACCCCACGATGACAAATAAGTTCGCCAGTGCACCTCCCAGGAGTCCGTGATGGCGGTTGGCCTGCTGCAGACCGGGGGGGTTTGGTCCAGCTGCTGGTGCATGCCCATTGAGTAGTGGGGCCCCAAGCTGGCCAAGGTGAGCCTCACCATCTGGAACCACGTCCGGCAGGGGCAGGGTTGGGGGCCTGCTGCTGAGCTCGTCCTGGGCTTTTTGCTTCTGCTTAATTTCCTAAGAGAGGAGACAGCAGTGGCGTGAAAAGCGCCTGCTCACGGCCGCCTGGGGCCTCGGTCACGTGCCCTGACAGCCTCACTTACCCTGACCTGGTCCTGTGAGGTATCCAGCACTCCTAACCCCATCCCGCAGACACAAAACCTGGAAGCATTCAAACTCCCTGCTGCTTCCCCCTCCCACTATGGGTCCATTCAGAGCCTGGCAGATCCATCAAGACAGGCCTACTTCTCTCCTTGCCCAGCTCCAGTCTTCAGTGGTGCCTGGCCCCCATCTTTACACACATGGCCTACCTGGCCCTCCTCTCCCATGGGCCTGTCACCTGTGCACCCACCAGCATGGACATGAGGGCGCATCCAGTGTCGGGAGGAGGCACTGACCTCCACAACATCGGGAAACAGTTCACAGAAGACTTTGTCTTTGAGGTTGAACACTAGGCTCTGCGTAGCCAGTTGTCTTTTCTGAGAAAGAGAGAGAAGGGACGTAGGACGGGAAGCATACAGAAACTCTAAAAGCGAACGATGTACATCTGGGGCTGCGGCTCCCACATCACAGGAAGCACCTAAAGGGCTCCTGTGCCACATCCGGGCTCAGCCTTACAGTGAGGGCACCACTCCCACCGGCTCCACTTGAATCCCACTGAAAACAAACAAACGCTCTTAGGAGGGAAGCCAGTGCTATCACTTCAACAGGCCCAGTGTGGGGGGCAAGGTTGACAGCAATCACAGTCATGCCCCCAGGACTAGCCTTCTAATCACTCCCCAGTCCCTTTAGCCCCTACTGGCATCAAGCAGCTAAGTCCAGGTACTACAGGCCCAGCAGGGACCCCAGGGCATGGACAGGGCCAGGTGTCAGGGGACACGAAGACCTCCTGCCGCAGCCACCTGCTTGCTGCCAAGGGTGATGCCTCCTCACCGTGAAGTCGGAGGTCTCAATGCTGCCCAGCGTGGGGCCCTTCTCCACCATGAAGCTGAGGAGCCCGGTGAGGATGGTGGAGACAGACCATGCCGGGTTCCATGTGTCAGGGTGGAAGTCCGTGATGGAGAGACAGAGCCTGCAGAGAGGGGCGTTCAGGAGGGGCAGGTGGCCTGGGACCCCCCACGGCAGCCCCTGGCCCAAGAACCTCACCTTGTGTTGCACTTAAACCTTCCATTGGGGGTGATCATATAAATACTAGGAGGCTTAAAGGGAAACTCGCGAGGGAAGATCAGTTTTCCATGATAGTAGCCCCCTGCGAGACAGAAAAGAAGCCATCTGTATCCTATACCCACAGCCAGGCCTCGCCAGGGGGCACTCCCAACTCCCTGCTGCCTTCCAGCATTCCAACTGACCCTCAACCCCCACGGGCAAGTCCACATATGATATACATACCCATCCCCCACTCGTCACTCCCTGTCACCTGTTTCTTACCTGCACATCACACTCAGGGCACAGGCCCCACCCTAAGTCCAGCCCAAGCCTGCTGAACCACAACTCCAAGAACCCCCACAGCTCCTCTAGCCTCCACCTCCACCTCCCTCCTGCACTACCCCGCTCGTCAGACCTGGTCTCACCACCAGTAACTACTGGTCACCCAGCGCAGGCGCCGCTTGTAGCGGGGTCTCGAGTTACCTTTTTCTTCGTGCTTTCTCATTAAATAGTGATATTTATAAGTTTTGTAACCAGACACCCTCCCAAACCACCATCACCCTCCCAGCCACGGTGCTGCCTGTCAAGATGCTAATAGAGGCAAGCTTTCACCCCTGGGTGGACACATGTGTACGTGTGTGTAAACTGACAAGACGTACACACACATATACATGCTCACACATGAGCCTGGGCATGCATCTCTGCCTGTTGGAGGTGGCTGGGGAGCCTCCCATGAACCACAGGGTGTGCAGCCTGGAGTGGCCAGCTGAGGCAGGGTGGTTTTGCAGCAGGTGCTGCTTGGACTTACTCAGGAACTGGGTGTGGAGTGGGGCAGGATCGTGGGTAGCGCCAGTTGAGATTGAACCACTGGGCAAGTGGTGGAGCTAACCAGGTGTGGGGCAGACATGGGAGTGCGAATAGGCCATGGCGAGGCCTATTGGGTATCTAGGACAGTGCTGAGTGGGCAGATATCCAGGGTGGACGTGCAGGACAGAGGAACATGATCTATAGCCACGAAGCACAAGGACCCCAGGAGAATGGTCTGAAGTGGGGTCAGCCAAGGGGAAGAAGGGGCTAAACTGGCAGGGGGCCCGGGCAGCCGAGCTATGAGATGTCCCAGGACAGCAGAGGGGTCAGAAGGTGCACCAGGGGCTATGGAGAAGAGGTTCTGAGGGGGCTCTCATGTGTTGCTAGCCTGACCAGTGGAGGGGGACTGGATCATGCAGGAGGGCTAGGGCAGGGCCTTGAAAGCAGGGGCCAAGGGAGTGCCCCAGGAGGTGATGAGACCAGGTCTGAGGAGACCCAACTCTGAGCCAGGAGCAGTGAGTGGAGGAGGAGGCGGAGGGTAGAGTAGCTGCGGGGGTTCTTGGAGTTGGGGTCCAGCAGGCTTGGGCTGGTCTTACAGGGTGGGGGGCTGTGCCCTGAGCAGTGTGATGTGCAGGGGGACTCAGGTGACAGGGAGTGATGAGTGGAGGCTCTTCTTCACGTCTTTTCTGATGCACCCGCACCGAGGACTTCTGCACTACTGTCCAAGTTGGTGGCACCCACCTCAGGCCCCAATCTTGACCTCAGCTACAGGACCCCGGGAGAAACAGAGGCCCGCCTATCCAGTGAGATCTGAGGGATGCCAGGATACCACCCCCGCCCCCTGCAGCTCAGCAGCCTGCATCCCCTCTTCCCAGACAGGTCACCCCAGAAGCGATCGAATAGCCACACCATGAACATGGCCCTTCACACGGTGCTTGTGGGAGAGCCCGGGCCCCAGCCCTCCTGAAGGCCCCAGCAGGGCTGCAGGCCAGCTCTGAAGCCACAGCCAACTCCTCACAGGAAATCTCGAGCCACGTTTCCCCAAGCAGAGGGCACTGCTCTGGGCATCTAAGGTCGGGACCTAGCTGGCAGGACAGAGCCCATGGCTCTTGTGTCAGGGCTTCCTGAGCCCAGAACCCCACGGCTGGCATAGGCCCTGCTGACACTTGGCAGCTGCACAGATTCACAACTGGTGGCTCAAGGTCTATTTCGTGAGGGGCAGGCAGAGGACTATACATGCCACCAGATCAGGCTGCTATAGTGATAGTGGAATGGCTGTGGTGCTGAGCAGGCCAACCACTGGTGAAGGCCCCTCTGACAAGCCCTTTAACCTTCCTGAGCCTGGCCCTGCTGTTGACACAGGGGACACTCCTCAGCTCTGAGGAGGACACAAACAGTAAAGTGCCTGCTCGGGGACCAGCACACAGCAAGCCCTGGGAGCACACATTGCTCCCCTTGTCAACGGTCACTCTGGCTGAAGGACAGCGGAAACCCACGCTGCAGGAGGGCAATCAGCAGGGGCTGTTTGTCCAGTGCTGATAACCCCGCCCCCACCCCGGTGCCTGGGGAAGCACTGAGCAAACACTTGCAGGACTAGAGCAGCGCTAAGATGAGCGCAATCTAAGTGCACGCTCACTAGCCCACTCTGGGGCCAGACTATCACAAAAGCAGGAGAGGCTGGCAGGCCCAGTCTGCTCAAACATGGAGGTAAGGAGTGGAGCACTCACCCTCATACGGAGTCATCTCGGGGCCTCGGACAACATAGTGCCTGAGGAAGAGAAGACGTTAATTGACATTTGGGGACTGCACATTTGTCAGAACCTACACACTCTACGACTGGGCTTTCCTCGACCAGCTAGACCCAATAGCTCCCGCATAATGAGTGGCCAAGTCAGAGGTGGCTGGGAGCCAGGCCATGGCTAGTCTCCAAGCCTGTGGGACCTGTACTGTAGTAGCATAGCCACCTCTGGACGCTGTGGTCACTCCATAGCAGGGCCTCGAGGCTGAGTTTTTACAGTTCCCAGAAAGCAGTGCTGCTCCTCAAACACAAAACCCAAGAGGCAAATCCTCTCCAATCACTAACATCTGTTGAAATCTGAAATGAATTTCCCACTTTACAATATAATTGTTCGTGAACTTGGAATTTTCTATTTTCTGACATGCACATGTAGCCAAGAACAAAGGTGGGCTTGGCGGGCTCGGTGTAGATGTGCCTAGAAAACCCAGAGGGAACCACTGAACAGCTAGCTGCCCGCGGGAATAAGGGACAAGAGAACCCACAAGCCTTGCTGAGCTAAGGTGCGCTAAGAAACCTCCCCAGGCAGGATGCACACCCCCCCAAAGCAGGGGCAGCCACATCTTGCCTCCACCCTCTCCCTGAGAATCAGGATTCCCACTCAAGAGAGGGCTGGGCTTTTGTAGCCTTTCACACAAAACAGAGAAGCACAAAGTAAAACTCCATCCCACACACCAGCCACCTTGATCATCACTTCTGGTTATCACCTTTCCCCAAGACACACACACCCACCCACCACC